GGATTTTGAGAATTTTTAACTGTTAAAAATCTGATTCTGAAAAGAAGTTCAAACTTGAGAGATTTAAGGTCTGTTTTTTTCTTTGAAGTCTACTGTAACTTGATCTTGTGATTCTGGGAGGGAGCCTCTTAGTCATGGCCCCTTAGTGGGAGAGACTTGACAAAAAAAATTACTTTCTATCTGAAAAAGCTAATTCAACTTGCTGAAATAGAATCAAGTTAATACTTCCACCCTATTTGAATGTGAGCATTGCAACTCACAGGAGATTGAATTTTGTATTTGATTTCAATTAGCAAAGCATAAATTATACTTAATTTTTTATCCCCCTCCTTTCTCTCAAATGGATGATTCATAGCTCTGGAAAGGCTGCCACTTGTGGTTCAGAGATGAGAAAAGGAGAATTCATCCTTCCAAATATTGCAGCTGCCATTGCTCTCATATTTATCATTTTGCCAATATCGTTCTGTACCTGAAAAGTATGAAAGCCTCGATGTTGCAACTTAGATCTAACAGTTCAAAATACAACAACAATAATAACATTCTTCAGCCACATTTATCTTTAACTTATATATAAAAACTACTTCTTCAAAATATCGAAGATGTGGCAGTTCATGGGAATTCCCTGCAAGCTTCAGAAGCACCTGAGACCAAATTAAAGTCCCACAGAGTGTGGTCTACTCAATCCAATAATATCAAGAACTCTCAATGAGAGCCTGATTTCCTTAAGATCTCAATTCCTTAGTTCTTCCAGTTGATTATGCTTTCTGTCCTCCCATTTCCATTGTCCACCTCATTATTTCCCAGGAAATCTCCACTGACTTCCTACTATCAGAAGTGAGGTAGTAGCTGTGTTCTATCCTTGCCTCTGTCTGTCTTAGACAAGTAGAATTGCCAGTCTGAATCTTAGTTTTCATATGCCTAACTTGATTATATTTAATCCCTACCTGTCCTACCACCAGAGTTTCTGTAACAATCAAAATGAGTTAGTAAATGGGGCAGCATTTGAAAAGACTGAAGTGCCTCATTGACACAAAAGATAGTGAAGGCAGTCCTAATGATGCTGATACTTCCGAGTTGACAGTATGAAAATGGCAATGGAGATGATGATGATGGTCATGAAGAACATACGAAGGAAGAAGAGAAGAAAGGAGAGGTTCCTGATATCCCCTCCAGTGACACCTTTACAGTGTCCCAAGGGAGTGTCTTCAGGTGAGACTACCATTTTACTTAGACTGAACAATTTTTTTTTTGTTTTGGAGAGATTTTTGCTATAGGGCGCGTGTGCTCGCCAGACAGACAAAGAGAGACATGGAGATAGAAAGCGAGAAATCACCCCCCAGAGGGGATGGTCACACCGCAATCCCTTCTCCTCCATTCTCCTCTCGGGATCTTGGGCACGCACGCACACGCGTCCGGTGTGAGTTTTAAGCCACTGGGTCCGGGACGCGAACTGCGGTCGACTACGTGGGAGTCCAGCGACATAGCCATTATGCTAACTGCTGGTTCCCTAGACTGAACAATTATTGAAGTGTAAATAAAAAAATGAAACATCATTGATTTTCTCAAAACCAAGACCAGAAGAAAGTCCTCTGTATATAGCACTGACCTGTTGAATTTCAGACAATCAGATGCAAAATGTTTTCCCTGTTTAGGGACAGGGACTTTCTTTCACCTCGTATTTAGACAAATGATCCTCACTCTGACTTTCCCTTGATCCATACTTGAGATTATTTTAGATATGACAGGACTCCAAATGCCTTCACATAATACTAAACAGATCCCTTTGAGATGGGAGTGAAGTTAACGTTTTCAAGCTTATAGGCTATAGATTCAGTGCCAACTCCTAAAAGTTTACTTGAAAGACAAAGATGGTTAAATACCATGGTTGGGTCCATCTCTCATATGTTTCTGGAAATAATTTGGGTTGCAAGATCTCCCCAGGTTCTTCTTACAACAAATTGGGATAGAGAGAAATGAGTTCATGTTTCACACCTCCTCAAATTTGTCACTCATAGGCATAAGAAATATACATAATCACTTTCAACAATTGTGATAGCCTATGTAAACAAGCAACAATAGTATGTCATTTGTTATCAAGGCAGGAAATAAAGGCCAAACAAATGTGTATTCACTAAGGAAGATGAGCTAGCATCTCTAGTGTCCCTGAACACAGGATAACCACACTTCTGTAGAGTCAGTTGTGTATTTTGCTCAATCTTTTACTCTATACATATCTCTAGAGTGAGCAAGAGGCAATTTAAAAAGAAATGGGGAAGATCAAAGCCTACTACCTTTATAGGACTCCCAGCCTGGTGGAGAAGACAGCCATGGAAGTGCATATAGCACAGAATTTACACAACTGTGGGAGCCAATGCACTGGTCACTCATAAAATGGGGCAGGGTGGGGAGTGGTGCGGGGGGATAATCAATTAGGAGAAAGGAAAGACCAAGTCCCTGTTACATTAAAGACCACACTCAGCAGCATTTTGCCTCATCCTAATCATAAGACAATTATGTTCCAGAGTCAAGCTAAAGCACAAAGTGGTAGACATTAATAGATAAAGACTAGGTAATTAAGATTATTAAGCAGAGACTTGGGAGGAGAAAGAAAAGAAGTCTGCATCAGGGACATTGTTATCAAGGAAAATCTTTCCTAGAAGGGAAGCTGCTTTCTCTACTTTAGATGACCATAATGGGGAGCATAAATCCTTCCTGGGACCTTTTATCTCCTGTAGTTTCCTTGGCATTGACAGCGATTTATTGGCCCATATATCAAGAAGGAAACACTGGGATCAGTCAGTACCACAGCAATAAAAACATGTTGCTCTGCAAGGCAATTGCATATGAATGGGTTCCTGGTTCAAGTCTGGAGACCTTCCTGAATACACCAAGCACACACATGCCTGTAACCTGGGGCTGGCTGAAGATGGGGGTGGTTTCTGACATTGCGAGTTTATTGAGAGTCTGTTTGTCTCTCTCTCATTTGTGCTTATGGAAGAGATAAATAAGTTTCTTTTAAAAAGAAAGGAAACATCAAACCATTAGAAATTCACCTTTTCTGAAAGTGTGCTAAAATCAGTAACAGTTAAAATTAAAACATTCACATCTTACAATAGAAGAAAGCATAGACTTGTCTTGTGACTCGGGGATGATCAGCAAGTCTTAAAATTGTATTTTAAAGACAGGGACTGTGAAAAATAGAGAATATAAGTCTTTCTCAACTTTCCATGGCATTGTAATGACTGAAGTAAAACCAGAATACAAGTTACTGTTGTAGAAATAGTGGAAGAAGAAGATGCCAGAACAGCCTGTCCTAAGAATAGCAGTAAACATGATTTGAAAGATATTTTCATAATCATTTTCTAAGCCCTGGAAAGGTAAGTTTGAATAGCTCTGATTCCACCCAATCATTCTGGATACTTGGAAAAGAATAATTTAAAGTGGGAGATTGATACTGAGTTCTATTTTCAGAGCATAATGACTAGTTGGAAAGTCCTCCATGAGGTTACGAGTATATTGCAGTGAGAACAGCTGTTCATGTTTGGGGATCAGAAAGATCTTCATCAATGTTCCTCTGACTCTCAGCAAGTCCATATCACCTTGTTGGAATGATTATGGAGCGTAAGTAGGAGTAAAAGTGAAACATATGAGACCAGCAAGTGGCATGGTGGTTGAGGCGTTGGACTCCCATGTGGCTGACCACAGTTTGAATCCCAGACCTAGCATTTGAAACTCATGCCAGATGTGTGTGTATCTGTGCCCAAAATCTCAAGAGGAAAATGGAGGAGAAGGGATGACAGCATGGTCATTTCCCCGGGATATGATTTCTTGCTTTCTGTTTCTCTGTTTCTCTGGTGAGTGCATGTGCCCTAAAGAAAAACAAAACAAAACAAAACACTCTCAAAAGAAAAAATGTGAGACACAGAGCTCTTTTTGGTTATGGCTTTCT